TTACATCCTATATTATTGGACATACTTGTGTTCTCACTCTCTGAGAGAGGGATAGGCAGAGTTGATTCTTTTTCATACTTGTACTTTTGGCATTAACATTGATTCTTTGTGATTCTAGCCACGGATACTTATGGCAATGGCTCGGGATGGATTGCTGCCTTCATTTTTCTCAGATGTTAACAAGCGGACTCAAGTTCCTGTTAAGGGCACTATAGCAACTGGTTTACTTTCTGGAACCTTAGCATTTTTCATGAACGTTGAACAGTTGTCAGGAATGGTAGGCTCACTTTCTGGACGTATTATATTATATATTTAAAGCCAGAGTTAAGTCCTCCATAATCATCTAGTGATATCAACTTGTTCCTTTTTCTTCCTATTTGGCACTGAATCTTCTGCAAATTGAAATGTCTTGAGTACTTCAACGCATAGAAGCTTGTGTCAAAATATGACTTGTAGCATGTTTGATAAGGTGTTGAAACGCATCAAAAATATCAATTTATGTATTTTTGTTCCCTTTGTTGTGTGCTGTTCTCCTTGTTTTGGAGTGAGGGAACAAAGACAACAAGAGAGTGATATCTAGGATGAACATTTGTTTTTGGCTCAAAACAATCTCCCTTTTCGTATCCTTTAGTTGTTTCATTCTTTTTTCATTTTGAGGCTTGTAACTCCTTCGTTGTTAGTGGAAAAGAATTAAGCGAACAACATGATTATTACGAGAAAACCCTTGTAAGCTTAAGTGATGATTTTCATTGTTAACTAATAGATTATGACATGATAATTTGTCATATTTTTCAATCATGTTGAGTAAACTTTGGAAGTGTGGTTTTGAGTGATTCACAACTCTCATTATTTGGGAATAAAATACCAGTTCCAAAAAATTAGTCAGGAATAAGATGTTTATCTTTTTTGACATTTGTATGGTTATAACTTTCTTTTTATAAAGGGTCAATGTTTATGCCCTCTGGCTCTCTGCTTGTGATTTGTGTTTAATCCTCATTATTTGGGAATAAAACACCAGTTCCAAAAAAAATAGTCAGGAATAAGATGTTTTATCTTTTTGACGTTTGTATGGTTATAACTTTCTTTTTAAGAAGGGAAAATGTTTATGCCCTCTGGTTCTCTGCTTGTGATTTGTGTTTAATGTGATGTAATTTTAGCATGTTTTGATTCATGTAACATTGTAAATTTTAGAAGTCAGTTTCCTACTCACGGGTTTTTGCTTGTTTTGATTATGTTTCTGTCTTTACAGGTCAGTGTTGGTACACTTCTTGCATTTACAATGGTGGCTATTTCGGTATTGATTCTCCGATATGTTCCACCAGATGTGGTCCCAGTTCCCTCCTCTTATCAGGAGGCAATTGACTCAGTAAGCCTGCGACGTAGTAGCTGTAGTAGTAGTTCAGATATGGATGTCGAGAAAACCAAAATTCCAGCTGTGACCTCTGGTGATAGCACTCCATTGTTAGGCGAGATTTCAGTTGGGCATCCTCTTGTGGAAAAAGCAGCAGCAAAGTTGAGCTGTAAGTACTAAATTCTTGGTAGTAGGCAGCGATTTATTATTCCGATGTGACTACTATTTTGTGCTAAAATGATCATGCTATACTATATAACATTCAGAAATTGTGACCAAAATAAATCTAATAGGTCGTGTTAGGTATGGTGAAATAAAGAATAGGAAAATCAAGTGGTGAAAAGCAGATCTATAAATTATCTGAAGAAGAAAAAAGCAATAAGAATTGACTTGGGTTTATTGATTATAGTCTTTGTCTCTTTCTCCCACCATATATAGAAATTATGTATCCTTACCTGAGTTACCTCATGATCCAACTGAGTAATTCAACAATAAAAAATGAAAAAACTGATGCTCGCTAGGTGCACCGTCCCTTCTTCTCCAGTCTCTGTTATCTACATTGCATTCAGGAGTCAAAGATGTGTTCACGATATTCCTACATTTACAAGGAATAATCTAAGTAGGTTATTTCCTACTATAATTTACTTCTCTTGATTTTGTCGCAGATCTAGTAAGCCAAAGGCGGAAAGTTGCTGGCTGGACAATTATGTTCATCTGTATTGGAGTATGCATCGTTACATCCGCTGCTTCAATTGTTAACTTGTCTAAGTGAGCTCTCTTTCTCTGCGATTTTACCTGTTTATTTCTTTCAATTTGGAGGGCTACAGTGGAGGTTTAAGAAGCGAGAAAATGTGTAATAAGGGTTAAATACCAGGAAAGTTTGTACGTCAACTTGGATATAGACATTCATGAATGTATTTCTGGACATGCACATAGATTCTGATAACTATCAATAAATATGATCTAAATCTTGGGATATTTTGATGTCTCTGTCACAAATGCTGAGGTAGTTAATATGTATTAATCATACATTTTCTTGTACAAAAATTTGACTCTTGTACCTTATTTCTGTGATCAGTCCTGCAAGGTATGCACTGTCCGGAATTGGTGGTTTACTTCTGATATCTGGTCTGATAGTGCTCACTTGCATAGACCAGGATGATGCGAGGCACAGCTTTGGACACACCGGAGGTATGTTATATCATTATCACCTGATTAAAGGCTTTCACTCCATTGGCTTTGAGCTTAGGTCCAATGAGCCCAATGATCTTTGATATTTTGTGGTAGTGGTCTACTCGTGATCATCGCCATATCAATTATCTAATTAGATTGCTTGTGCTGGATCGATAGTAATGGCTGTTATACATCTACAAGGACAAATTTAAAACATAATTTTCTTTTCCTATTCAGGTTTCACTTGTCCGTTTGTACCACTTCTGCCTATTGCCTGCATTCTCATCAACGTCTACTTATTAATTAATCTTGGGTAAGCCTTCATGACTTCTTTGCTATTATTTTCAGCACTGCCGAACTATATTTCAGATTTTGGTTTATACCGTTAAGTATGAATTTAGACCTAACTCAATCTCGAAAGCTAACCTTATGAGGTGAGGATTGTCCAACACTCACATAAATAAGGAGACAACAGCCCATTCCCTTAATCAACATGACACACTTTAATACCATCCGCACGCTCAGGTCTAAATATCCAGAGCATGAACAACATAATACAGGTGCCCAACGTTGGATAATCAAGAATATTTATTAGTTTGACTCTGATACCATGTTGAGAAAATGAACTTGGGCCTAACTCAACCTTAGAAGCTAATTCATGAGGTTAGGATTGTCCAAAAGTATATGAGGCGCCAAGAACCTAATCGACTAATGTAGGACTAGTAAAACATATATGCTGCTTCCTCCTGCACTCGCCTATACTTGCTAAAGATGGACCAATCGTCAATACCAAGAATCACAGCTCGTAATTTACCACTATTTCTTTATCATTTTAATCGAATCATTACTACTCAGCATTGTTAAACCTCTGTTTGCATTTCTTGCAGTGGTGAAACTTGGGCCCGTGTATCCATATGGCTAGTAATAGGAACGTGCATATATGCTTTGTACGGCCGAACCCACAGTTCACTAAAGACTGCAGTTTACGTTCCTTCAACTCACGTGGATGAAATCTACGAAACTTCAGCCATCTCCCTTGCATGTTAACACATGCATCTGTTGAGTCAAGTGAAAGAACCTTGTTTTCAGTTACACACGGTTTACTGAAGAAGCAGCTGTATATTTTGTCTTTCTGCTGATAAAAAAACCGCTACATGTTTCAGAATGCTGAAACACACATATCTCTTTTCCTCTACTTTGTTGTCATATAATTTTTTTTTCCCATTGTAGTTCTACTACTGAAAGAGGAAAAAAGAAAACAAAATTTAGAAATATTTGTTATTGCAACACACATTTAGTAGTGTTTGTAATAAGCAGAGAGTAGTTGATTCTTTGAGCTTCTTTGTATGTGTACATATTTGTGATAGGAATGTGTGGTTCTGGCAATGGGGTACTTGTTGAATGTGTAAATATGTGAAATATAAATTTAAAGATTTCTTTGGGTTCCTCAAACAGTACTGGTACTTCGTTTTATTATTACTCGTGTTCTTTGCTTCAATTATCATACTATTCGTTGGTGCTACTGGTGTTATCTACTATACTCTTTTTTCCTTCAATTTCTATATAATATTAGTCAAAATTTATTTGTTTTTGTTCATTCCTATTGCAATAAGATGGACTTTAGGCTAATAAGGGACTAATTATTAAATTTTTGGTGGAAATTTATTTTACTTACTCTTGGTAATCTATTATTGATAACTTTGTCTCAACTTTTTTCACCATAAAAGACTACACTAGATATATTGACCAAGGTTTTATGATTATCCTATCTCACAGACTCACACACAGCTCGTTAGGTTACAACAAGTTATTGTCATTGTCATGTAACCAAAAGGTTACAAGTTTAAATCGTAGAAACAGTTGCTTGCATATATCCTATTTAAGTTGCATATAGATCCAATGTAATCTGACTCCTATTCTGCACATAGTGCGAGTTTAATGTCTAGAAATTACTCTAGAAATGGTGAGATTGTACGTACTGTTTCCTCAATTCTTTACAGAGAGTTTCATAAATGTTTCACGAAAAATACTTCTGGAAGCCATATCACCAAAATATTCATGAGCTAATACTCACGAAAAATTAAGAAATTGCCCATTTCCTGTAAATTAGCCCCTAAAAAGGCCCAAAAATCACTCGGAAAATGGTGAGACTCTACGTACTACTCCCCAACTCCCTACGGAGGGTTCCATATAGGTTCTGCAAAAAATTCGTCTGGAAGCCACATCACCAAAAAATTTATGGGTTAATACACACGAAAAACTGAGAAAATCACCTAATTTCTGTAAATTGGTCCCTAAATGCACAAAAATCATTCTAAAAATGGTGAGACTGTACGTACGGCTCCCCAACTCTCCACGGAGGGTTCCATAAAGGTTTCGCAAAAAATTCATCCGTAAACCATATGACCAAAATATTCCTAGGCTAACACAATCTATGTGGAAATTGTACTCGTTTTAGCTTTCGCCATTTACAATAAATGCCATTACAAAAGAACAAATTGTATCTTCATTACAAATCAAAATCAAGAAGTTGAGTTCCTATCTCTCAACATATTGACCCCCATAACTTCTCTAAATCATTACACAACTCTCTTTCTCTACCTATAACTATAGAAGTATGATCTGCATTATCAACAATTTTCACCTCTGCATTTGGCACTTTCATCTTTATATTGTTGCCACTTTCCATTGGCACTACTTGATCCCTACTACCTTGAATAACATTGATTTTCACCTTGGCTATATTCAAAGTTTCCAAGTATTTATCCATAAACTTTGCTCCACCACATAATACATTATGCATTGTGTGCCAAGCTGAATGATGAGTGTGCCTAGTCAAGTCAATTGCCATAAAATGTAGGTTCCTGAAATCAGTAGATCGTAAGTATAGTCACGTCAACAACTCATTGTGTCCCCTCCCCCCCGAAAATGTATGTAGGCTATCATATCTTCACATGTATAAGTATAGTCACGTCAACAACTCACTTTACATATTATCGAAGTGAAACAACTTACAAACAAAAACAAGAACTTATTTCTTCTCCAACTTAATACCCGATGTCTTTTACCATGTGGCTTATTGTTATGCATTTTCTTAAGTAAGTCGGAAATGAGCTTTCTTAAAGTGGTGCCGCGTGGATTATACATGTGAAATTAACCTGAAAGAACATATAAAAAGTAGTTGTAGAAAGTGTTACTGCCTTACCTATTCCAAGTGAGTAACTTGAGGATTCCTTCCCAAACTCTGTGGTTTTTGCAGATGATGTAACATACACATCTACCCAAGTGTTCATACCAAGACATAAATGATGAACCAAATAACAAAGGTGGCCACAATCTTCTTGCTGCAAGTCTGTTAAGTGCTGTTAAACTAACATCCTCCTTTGTTGAAGTGACATAAGGCTGAAAAAGTTCAAGCACAGAAAGAAACGAAGACCATTAGCAAGAACAAACAACAACAACATACTCAGTGTAATCTCATATGCGGGATCATGAGAGGATTAACTGTACGCAGACCATACCCCTACCTTGTAAAGGTAGAAAAACTTCTAAAATTTGCTTATTTTGAAAACCGAGTTTTTTTTGGTCAGAATTTGGTTATCAGAAAAGTACTTTTAGGTAGTAACTTGTTTGTGTTTGGCTATTAGAAACACTCTTTCCCAAATACTAGAGAAGCATTTTGTGTTTGACTGAGGTTCCCAAAGGTTTTTTGGGGAGAACAACTTTTTCAGCTTCTGATTTTGTACTTTACTATTATAACAACAACATACTTGGTGTAATCCTACTAAGTCAGGTTTGGGGATGGTAGAATGTAAGCGGACCTTTCCCCTACCTTGAGAGTTGAGGGTAGAGAGGTTGTTTCTGATAAACCTAGGCTCGAGAAAAAACAGTTCAAAGCAGATCAATGAAGAAGTCACGACAAAAAACCATATAAAAAAACATCATAAGTTGTACTTACTGGTGCTATCAAGGTGATTGATCTGACAGAATGAGAATGTTTTGCAGCTAAAGCTAATGCCACTACACATCCCATTGAATGTGCAACGATATGAAATGAATTCAACTCAAATGGTTGAATCACTGAACTCTCAATCATTTCAACATGATCTTTAACTGTGTATAAGCAATTGTTTGGTTTTGGACTTTTTCCAAATCCCAATAGGTCAACTGCTAACAATCTGTATTTCTGCATTGTATCTTCAGATAGATAGGGAAAAATTGTCTCTGTCCAGAATGTGGATGATGAGAGAAAACCATGTAAAAATACTATATTTTCTGCTCTCTTGCCTTTGAAATCCTCTAAGTTAACTGCAAAATTTGTAAGTCTAAACATTAGTGCTTATCAATGGGAAGGGGTCAAATTTATTTCTATTTTTGTCTGAATAATAGGTATAGTGATTTTGACCAAATATTTTGATACGTCAATACACTATTCATGACAAAGAATATGAGTATATAAATGTATACTATATATGTATTTCCTTCATTGAAATATTTCCTTTTTTATACAATGTGTTATTAAGCTTTGGATTATAACATTAAAAAAGAGTTGAGGGTGAAAATCACATACTTGAACTATTGTTTTTTCATCAGTTTCACACTCCAACTATCCGTCATTCTTTTTTTCTACTTTTAGTATCAGCATCTACATTTTAAAAACTTAAAATCCACTATTCAGTTGTTTCATTTTCCTACCTAAACTATCATCATCGTTAAAGCAAGAAAAGGAAAAGTGAACAATTGATAGTTTAAGTGTATTTTTTTTAGGAGTACTTAGTAATAATTAACATAAAAATCATATTAGCGCTCTATAGCTACAGTTTTACTATGCATATGATTTGTAAATCGTAGCGACTTGTATAAATCGGGGCAATTTGTATAAATCGGGAGTCTGTGTTTATGAAAATTGTGTTTGTATATGTATATGTTTTTTGTGTTAGGCAAGAGTGGCGAGCGAGATTAGGAGAGAGAGAGGATAGAGGCGAGCGAGGGCAGAGAGTGGAGAGATGTGAATTGTATATGTATATCGGTTAGATAATTGTAGATATGTAACTATTATTATGTATATGTATCAATGATTGTGTTTGTGTATCTAGCATAAAATTTGAATTTGTATACAATTGAATCGAGTAAAAACATTTGTAATTGTATATCAAATCTCTCTCGCTTTATACAAACACAAATTGTATGTACAATTTGTGTTTGTAGAAAGCGAGAGAGAAAGAAAAAAGAGAACCGGGCAGGGAAAGATTTGTATTAGTATAATTATAAGTGGATAGGACGGATATATATGCAGTCTATCTCGCTTTATACAAACACAAACACAATTTATACATTTGTGTTTGTATAAAAGTGAGAGAGGCGAGGGAGAGAATTGAGAAAGGAGAGTGAAATTCAGGGAGATAAGCGAGAATGGCAATGTGTTTGCTACGAATTAGAATTAAATGAAACTGTATCTATAACATTTATTTTGAATTAATAGGTTGTTATAATGCACAATTTTTCCTTTTTTAATACATAAACCGTCATAGTTCACTATCTTTCAGGCAGGAAAAAAGGAAAAATAAACAACCGATAATTTAAGTGTGTTTAAATATATAAATAGTGATAATTCACGTAGTAAGAGGGAACAAACTAATAGTTCAAGTATGAAACTCGCGAATATGAAATGTACCTTGGTGAATTTCTTTGACAACAACATGAAGCTTCAATTCCCCTGCAATATTACTCATCCATGAAACACAATTCTCACAAGAACAATCAGACCATCTCACATTTTCATTCAATTTTCTCCGACTAGTAACATTCCGGCGAAATCCAATTCCCCGGAATAAATTTCTCCGTTTATAAAGAGTATTCGACAATTCATTATCACTATCACTTTTTTCTTCTTCTTCTTCTTCTTCTTCATTTTCTATGGAACAGTAACAACCCGAACTTTTACCTTCGATGAATTCATCAATCAATTTGAAGAAAACGCAGAAAATAGCATCGAGCAAATCGAGAAATAAGAAAACTACTGCACTCGCTGATGAAATGAGAATCTCTGATAAAATTTGTAGCCATTTTTGTGAGAAATTTACAGAGATTTTCTGCATATTTTGGGGATTTAGGGCTTCGTTTTTTCAAATCTCCTTTGTGTTTTTGCTCAATTTCGTTTGCATGCGTTTTGGAATTTTACAGCAAAAAGGATGAGGTTCTATATCTTTCCATCTTTCTCCTAGCGTATTTCGGAAGGATAAGTAATGTATACATTATCTTTCTTAGAGCGTATTTAGGATTTCGAAAGAATGAGTGATGTATAAATTATCTTTCCATCTTTCAAGAGCGTATTTGGAATTTCAGAAGGATGAGTGATGTATAAATTTTATCCACCTTTATCTTCTTTAACACAGAATCGTCAAATTTTAAAAATTATAGGTCCAATATATATAATGCTAGTACTACTAGTTTTAAATTTTAATATACACATTTAATTTAATTATATAAAAATTTACAATGCTATTTTTTTTTTTAGGAACTTCCAATGTAACACACTTGAAAATTTTGAAAGATTAAAGTAAAAAACAAAAGAAAAATTGATTGAAACGCCAAAAGTGTTACCGGTAACAACTTGAAGGAGTATTACTCTTATTTAGAAATGGGAGTTTGGAGGACCAACATTGCACTAAAGAGTTGGACTAAAAGCTATAGAAATTGTACATTGAGGCCCACCAAAAAGATGAACTAAAGTAACTTCATCTACTTCTACTTTTTCTACACATATTTTTCTTAAATAAAATAATTATTGCCTCCATTTTTATTTTTATTTTTAACATTTAACTTTAATTTTAAAAGATTGGAAATTTTATGTTAAAAATTTAAATAATAGAAAAAATGATTTATTTAACTTTTATCATCATCAATACTACTAATTTATTTGACGTTTTTTCTTAATCTTCATCTCATCATTAATGTTATTTATATAATTTTCTTAAATCACTTATTTTTTCTTTTTTAACTCTTTTATATATATAAAAGTTGGATATGTAAATGATGATGTGACATTTCTTAGAAGCTAAGATTACTATTTATCTAATTTCTCCAAATTTTAAAAAAAAATTGAAGATATCATACGCAAATTTATGGTCAAACTTAAACTATTTGATTCTCGAGAAATAAAAAGTCTCACATAAAATGGGACAGACGAAGGATAACTCTCAATTAAATTTATTTCACTTTTTATTTTCCGTTTTTAACATAATTTTTCAAGTTGGATTTCTAGGAATTCTATAGTAGACCCATTTAAATTTTACTTTTTTGTTTTAAATTAGAGAACTTGGCCGCACTTCGCGCGATCATTTAAATTAAATATTTTTTATTAATTTTATATTTACTCTATTGTTTAATCGTAATATTATTATTTGTTTTAATAATATGAAGATTGTGGAAAAAAATAAAGCTTCACAAATTTTACATCTATTAAATGAGGAAGAATATATTTTTTATCAAATAAGTTAAAATATATTTGCTAATAACAAATTCTTCCATTGCATGAAGTTGATCCTTTAATATATAATATATATTTAGGTCTACCATTTTCCTTAAATGTCTAAGAAATATCACATAATGTCAAATAACACTGTAATACTCCCTCTGTCCCTAATTACTTGTCCACTTTTAAATTGACACATTTATTAAGAAATCAATTAATGACATAATGAGTTTATCATTTTACCCCTATTAATTATGAAGTAGATGAAAAGTTCTGCAATTTTCAAAGTAATTAGTCATTTAATTGAGGGTATAATAGGTAAAAAAATATTCTTTCTTGATTTGTCAAAATGGACAAGTAATTAGGGACAGAGTGAGTACTAAACAAATGCATCAACAAATGAAATTTATATTAAAAATATATTGAATAATGACGTAATGATACCTTAATAGAATTTCCTATCCATTTTAAAAAAAAAAACCTTCACCCTTTCAATTTCGTTATATCTTCTTATTTAGTAGAAGAATCATCATTTATTATATTCTACTCCACCTTAATTTGTACCATCAGAGTTTTAAGAATAAACATTAAATTTTAAATCGAAATAAAAAATCATTGAAAAATGACAGAAAAAATAATAATAGTATATGAAAATTAAAATAAGGTGCAAGAAAAGCCTTTTCACGATAATTTTTTCAAATATATTGATAACAATTAAAATGAAGCTGTTATTTTATCTTTAAAATTAAGTTTGATTGAATTGAATTAGTACAATGAGAAAAAATATTAAACTAATAACTTTTTAATGTTATTAAATGCATTTTATTTTTAATTGAGTAGTAGATTAAAAGTTCCGAATTAGGATATTAAAATAATATCTTACTCTCTCCTTAATTATTATGGTATTGCAAACATTTATTTTCCTTAAATCGTGATTCATTTTCCATTTACAGTTATATCCAATTAATTTCTAATGTATTGAATGTGGTTATGGGATATTGAAATAATATCTTTATCTTTCCTTAATCATAATAAAATTATAATTTAACATTTATTTTTCTGAAATGATAATTTTGTTTTAATTCCTAGAACATATTGTTTACTCTATTGAATGTAGTTATAATAAAACATATTGTATTTAGTATGACAAAAGAACTCAAAAATTGGAGAAATTAGATAAATAATAATCTTAGCTTCTAAGAAATGTCACATCATCATTTACATATCCAACTTTTATATATAAAAGAGTTAAAAAAGAAAAAATAAGTGATTTAAGAAAATTATATAAATAACATTAATGATGAGATGAAGATTAAGAAAAAAACGTCAAAAAAATTAGTACTATTGATGATGATAAAAGTTAAATAAATCATTTTTTCTATTATTAAAATTTTTAACATAAAATTTCCAATCTTTTAAAATTAAAAATAAATGTTAAAAAAAAAAATCGAGGCAATAATTATTTTAAAGAAAAATATAACCAAAATTGTCAAAAAAAATTGATAAAAATAAATAACTATCTATTAGTAAGAATGGTGTCACTACATTTTCTATTTTAACTTTATTGTTACGTATGGATAGAAACTTTTAGAAAAAGAAATGATCCAAAAATTTAAAAATAATGATTCCTTAAATGGTGATTCCTTTTCCATCTACAACTTTTCAATTAATTTTTAATGTATTATATATGGTTATGGATATTGGAATAATAATTTTATCTTTCCTTAATCATAATAAATTATATTTTAACCTTTGTTTTTGTGAAATGATAATTTTCTTTTCATTCGTACAACATATTGATTAATATATTAAATATAATTATAATAAAACATGTTGTATTTAGTATGACAAAAGAATTCAAAAATTTTAAAAATTAAATAAATAGTAATCCTAACTTCTAAGAAATGTCACAAATATATATATATATATATATATATATATATATATATATATATATATATCTAAGAAAATGATATAAATTACATTAATGATGAAATGAAGATTAAGAAAAGAAGTAAAACAAATTAATAATAATATTGATGATGATAGGAGTTAAATAAATCATTTTTTATATTTTGTAAATTTTCAATATAAATTTTTCAGTCTTTTAAAATTAGAAAATGCTAAAAAAATAAAACTAAAACTAAAAATCGAGGCAACAATTATTTTAAGGCAAAAATAACAAAAAATGTCAGAAACATTGATAAGAATAAATAAGTATCTATTGCTAAGAAGGTGTCACCCCACATTTTCTATTTTAGCTTTATTATTACATATAGATAGAAACTTTAAGATGAAGAATGATCCAAAAATTTTAAAAATAACAAATCAATTATGTAAAAATACATGTGTAATTCTTATAAAGTTATAATAACTAATTTCTTCAAATAAATAATTAAATGAAAGAAAAAAAAGTAATTAAGAAAATAATATAAATAACACTAATTATGAGATTAATAGCATTGATGAGGAAAGCAACTAAATATGATCATCTTTTTAAATTCTTTTTTAAGAAAATATATATAAACTTTAATTAAAGATAAATAAGAAAAAAAAACTTTAATTAAAGATACAAAAAATCAAGACAAAATAAAAGAAGAAAGAAATTAGAAGAATAATGAGGTTGAAAGAAATAATATCTAATTTTCTCTCTTTTCAAATCACAAAATAAATTTTTGCTTGTTCTCCTCCTAATTTGATACGAATTCCATAAATAGAATGATTTTTTCTCCAAATAATTTTTCTTACCCTTTGAAACACTAATCTACCTTCTTATAAATTTCTCAACCACAATGAATTTTCTCTCCTTGTAGGAGGAATAAACATTTTTTCAAAAAGTCTTTTATTTTGAAAAGAATTTTTTGTTACATAATCTCTTTCTTTACATCAATGTCTTCACAAGAATCATGAGATATTCTCTCTTTCTCTTTTGTTAAAAAAATCACATGACCTAGAAATTTGATGGACATCTTAGCGACAGAAGTTGATACCATATATTGATCATTATCGTCAGAAGAAGAAGAAGAGCCAAAGTGAAGAAATTTGTTCTTATTTGTTACAAATGCTTAACTATTTTTTATTTATTTTATAGGCTAAATAATTATAAACAGTTATAAAAAATGAATAGTTTTTATCTTTTCATCTTCCATTTTCATTTACTTAAATCTATATTAGTGTAATGGATGTTATAAAGGGCATAACTAATCGGGTATGACATAAATACTTTTTTTTTAAAATACAAATAAAAAATACAAAACAAAGATAAAATGTCAAAAAAAGGAAAAAAAAGATGAATAAAAATACTGTCATAGAGAGATGCCACATCAAATTGTCAATATTCAGCTTTATATATACATATATAGGTTCATGCCCTTAGATGTTATTTTATTACTTTAGCTGGCATCGACATTTTTTATCTGATATCTACTTTGGAACATTTTATAATGTGGCATAGGCTGACAATTGAGATCATAAATTTAAAATAATAAAATTTAATTTATTATAATACTAATATCAATATCATAAAGATATATATATATATATATATATATATATATATATATATATATATCATTTTAAAAAAATATAAAAATTATTATAAATTGTAATAATTAACCGCTTTATTTTTTTAAAATCATATAACTAATTTGATTTACACT